CAATAAAATTAGAAGTTTGTCAAACTTTTAATTTACCTTTAAACATTAACTAGTACAGAGCCCGTGCGATGCACGGGGTGAACAATTTTAAGACTATTTATCCAGACTTATAATTATATACATGAATAAAGAAAAATGTACGGGATATATATAGTACGTGACCCGTGCAAAGTACGGGATATATTTATTTGGAGAATATTATATTATAAGATGCAATATTCAATAAAAGTTTATAATACGCAAGAAAATTGTACAATGTTCAATAAAAGTTTTATAATATTCAAGTGGAGTCTTAAAGTCTCTTGTACATTAAGACTACTGACAAAATAATATTTTAATCAATGAGTTTCCTTTCCTTGTAGCCAAATTGTGAATGTGATTTGAGGAGTACAAGAAATCGATATATAGCTGACTTGCTTTTTTCATTGTAGTTTTTTTTTTTTTTATTATTATTATACTGAATTTAAAGATATTATGAAATATAGCAAAAATTAATTTTTTTTATTACAATTAGGAATTTTATAAATTATAAACTCTCAATCAATGGTGTTAATCAACGTTTAAGTATAAAAAATTAAGAATTTTTATCTATTTTAATCAACATTTAAGTCTAAAAAACAAAAGAGTTATTATAAGATTTTTTTCTACATCTTGTAAAACATTAAATATGAGCATGTTAGAGCTAGCTTGTAAAATAATCAATGTATTATCTCACTAAAATATTTATACTAATAAAAAATTAATTTTAGCATATAAATTTATCCCTTGATATAAGAGAAAGTAACAGTTTTACGTATTGTTGTTCACCATATAATATTTAATTATTATTTTATTTTGTAATAAAAAAGGAATATTGTTAAATAGTGTAGTAGAATTGTTATAAAATTATATAATTTTTTTTTTTAAATATGGATTTAATATTTTTTTATGATTTGATAATATAAGCAAATCTACACTTAACTTTGACAAATAAAACAAATTAATACTTTAGTAAGTATTTAATGTATATACTAAATAGAAATATATTTGGTATAATCAAATACCAAATATAATCAAATAAGTGAAACTGTACATTTTTATTTGGTATTTGATTTTTTTATTATTAAAATCTTTTTATTATACTTACTTTTTTAAAATAAAACAAATAAATAAATCAATTAAATAAATAAAATATTATAATACCAAAATAGTAATGGCATTTAATGCAGTTGACTTTTCTGGATAGTAAATATAGTAAATAGAATCTCTTTTTATATAAGTATAGATTGTATAATACGAAAATAGTAATGCAATAAATGTTGTTGACTTTTTTGGCTACTTAATTTGATAAATAGAACTCCTTTTAATATAAGTATATATTACCAAACAAGATATACGTTTTGAAATTTTAATTTTTCAATCATATTTCTAAAGAAAAACAAAAAAAAAAAAGGTACACGCACTGACGCACACATACGAAGGTGGAAAAACCCCAATTTTTATCCAAAAAGGGGAAACAAAAATTTGTTTTACCCCTAATTCATTTANGCAGAGCGCCTCCATTTCACTCAACGCTCTCCTTCTTACCTCCTCCGCCAGCCGGAGGTCCGCCGCCGGGCTCAACTCACTTGCTCTCTGCCCGGGCGTTTCAGAGATGCTCCGTGTTAGGTTGTGATGGATCACCAAATTTCTTCTTGGTTATGCAAAGGATAACTTAGGCTTCTTGTTTGTGCAAAAGATAACTTAGGCTTCTTGTTTGTGCAAAGGATAACTTAAGCTTCTTGTTTGTGCAAAGGATAACTTAGGAAGGAAGCAAAGAGAAATACCAAGAATTGTTCTCAAGCATTCCTAAGATGCTAGCCTAAGTATTGGCTATATTTACCTTGCATATCCTTGTTTGTAAGTGTGTGAAAAATCAGAGAAAACATCTAAGTTCTTTGTGTAGTCGAGAGGCAAAAGAAAGAGTTGAGTCGAGAGTGAAAGAGTGTTTTCTTATTGTAAAGAATTTACATACAGATGTGTGTGTTTGTTGTACTCTTTTTTTTGTCTCCTCTTTGAGTGTTTTTCTCCTGGCTTGGTATCGCTCCCGAACTGGGTTAACAAATTCTTGTGTTCTTTTTCGCTTTCATAGTTTTGTGTTCTTATCCATCTTGATCCGATCTATTTCCTAACAATTGGTATCAGAGCCAGGTTGGAGATAAGATGGAGGGAAAGATTCCAGTCGAACGGTTCAATGGTTCCGACTTTGGATTTTGGCGAATGCAAATGGAGGCTTACCTGTACGGGAAGGACCTTTACGCGCCTCTTGAGGAAAAGCCCGAGAAGATGAGCGATGATGAATAGAAGGTGCTCGATCGGAAGACGATGAGCGCTATCATTCTTTCGCTCTCTCGGAACGTCGTCTACCATGTGAAGGGGGAAAAAAACACGAAGGAGGTCTTGCAGACACTCGCTGACATGTATGAAAAACCATCAGCAATAGACAAAGTGATGCTGATGAAAAAGCTGTTCAAATTGCAAATGGAGGAGCGAAAGTCAGTGGCCGATCATCTCAACGATTTCAACTAACTCACGACGCAGCTGGCATCAGTGGATATTTCGTTTGATGATGAGGTAAAAGCCCTAATCTTGCTATCATCATTGCCAGACAGTTGGGACGTAGTTGTTACGTCGGTGAGCACTTCTTCTGGCAAGGAGAAGATGAAGTTCTACAATATAAGAGACATGATGTTGAACGAGGAGACCCACAGAAATCAGGTGGGTGGGTCATCTGGCTCAGTCCAACATACAGAGTCCAGAGGGAGACCTGACATACGAGGGAAAACCCGTGGGAGGTCAAAATCCAAGGGGAGGAATAAAGGCAAGAAAGAGATGGTGTGTTGGAACTGCGAGAAGCATGGGCATATGAAAAGCGAATGTCGGGCACCAAGGAAGAACAAAGAGGGCCGAACAGCCATGCCGCCACGAAGGACATGGCGGATGCACTCTTGTTGAGTGTGAGAAGTTCGCTCGATGACTGGATCGTGGACTCAGAGGCCTCATTTCACTCTTGCAGTAGCAGAGACATCATGAAGCCATACACCACAGGTGATTTTGGCGTGGTATATCTTGCAGACAACAAACCCCTAAAAATTGTAGGGAAGAGAGATGTGCAGATCAAGTCCACTAATGGGTCATGTTGGACCCTACGGGATGTGAGGCACATTCCATGACTGAAGAGGAATCTTATCTCAGTTGGACAGCTGGACAATGACGATTTCCACACAATGTTTGGAAACGGAAAGTGGAAGGTCAGCCGAGGAGCTATGACTTTGGCAAGAAGGTTGAAGTCAGGAATGCTTTACGTGGCGGGTGGATCTAGCTCAAACATTCCCTTGGCAAGATCTGTCTCACAATCTCACTTGTGGCACAGTCTCTTGGGCCACATGAGCGAGAAAAGAATGAAGGTACTCAAGTCGAGAGGACTTTTGCCCGAGTTGGAGTCAGTGGACGTGGGTCTCTGAGAGCATTGCATGCTTGGAAAACAGAAGGGAGTAAGCTTTATGACCACTGTGAGAGCTCCAAAGACAGAAAAATTGGAGCTCATGCACACTGACTTATGGGGGCCAGCACCGGTGACATCTCTTGGAGGATCGATGTACTACATGACATTCGTCGATGACTGCACAAGAATGGTATGGGTGTACTTCTTAAAAAGAAAATCCGATGCCTTTGATACTTTCAGGAGATGGAGAGCACTCGTGGAGAAAGAGACAGGTCTAGAAGCGAAATGTCTCTGATCCGACAACGGTGGCAAGTACAACAGTGAAGCCATCAAGGAATACTGCGTCGACCGTGGGATCCGAATGCAGAAGATGGTCCCAGGGACACCTCAGCAAAATGGCATTGCTGAGAGGATGAACATGACACTGAATGAGCGTGCGTGATGCATGCGATTGAAGAGTGGACTGCCCAAGATGTTTTGGGCAGAAGCAGTCAGCACGACTGCTTTCTTGATCAACCGAGGGCCTTCTGTCCCTCTGAACAACAAAATTCCAGAAGAGGTCTGGAGTGGTAAGGAAGTTGATCTCTCTTTCTTACATACCTTTGGTTGTTTGACTTACATTTTGAACGACGACCGGACAAAGCTGGATGCTAAGTCGGTCAAATGTACATTCATTGGAGAAAACACATTGCGATTAAGTACCATTTCATCCGACAACTTTTGGAGAAGAAGACACTGCAGCTGAAGAAGATTCAAGGAGAAAAGAACCCTGCGGACATCTTGACTAAGGCGGTTACGATGGAGAAGTTGAAGCTATGCTCGGCTTCAACTGGATGATTAAGAGTGAACAAACCCGGCGGTACTAAGAAGGAAGGAGAGAAATGCTGATCGATCTTCAAGTGGGAGATTGTTAGGGTGTGAAGATGGATCACCAAATTTCTTCTTGGTTATGCAAAGGATAACTTAGGCTTCTTGTTTGTGCAAAGGATAACTTAGGCTTCTTGTTTGTGCAAAGGATAACTTAGGAAGGGAGCAAAGCGAAATACTAAGAATTGTTCTCAAGCATTCTTAAGATGCTAGCTTAAGTATTGGCTATATATACCTTGCATAGCCTTGTTTGTAAGTGTGTGAAAAATCAGAGAAAACATCTAAGTTCTTTGTGTAGTCGAAGGCAAAAGAAAGAGTTAAGTCGAGAGTGAAAGAGTGTTGTCTTGTTGTAAAGACTTTACATACAGGTGTGTGTGTGTGTGTTTGTGTTGTACTTTTTTTTTTTTTCCTCCTCTTTGAGTGTTTTTCTCCTGGCTTGGTATCGCCCCCAGACGTAGGATTTATATCCGAACTGGGTGAACAAATTCTTGTGTTCTTTTTCGCTTTCATAGTTGTATGTTCTTCTCCATCTTGATTCGATCTATTTCCTAACACTCTGTTCCCGTCACTCGCGGTGGCTTCTGCCTCGAGCTGGCACCCGAGCCCGATCGAGTTTTCGACGAAGCGGAATGTGTTGTTTTTAGGCCCGGGATTTGGCGATTTTGGATCCATGTCGGACAGCGCGGTGGTTAGGGCTGCTGCGGAGGAAGACGTTGGTGCGCCGGCGAGCCCTAAATCGACGGGCCTCGCGGATGCTTTGGTGCTGGGAACACTCTTCGTGCTCTGGTTCGCGTTTCACGCTTACTTCAGTATCTACAACAAGCAGGTAGATATTGTGTATTGTGAATATGCCTCGTTTCATTTTTTTACTCAATTTTCTGGTACTTTTAAATAAACCTCCTCTGGAAACGTAGACGATGGGTGAATTATCCTTGTAAGTTTCTTTGTGTATTGTTATGAATTGTTGTGAGTTTCTGCTGGGTACTGGGAATTTGGCTGTGCTAATGCTTGAATTTTCAATTATAGACTGCAAAAATTTGATATATGGACGTAGGTAGAGGAATTTTAAGTTATAGACTGCAAAGATTTGTATATATGGACATATATTGCGGAATTTTTAGACTGTGGATTAGTTTTTGCTATTTTCTGCTAGGCGTCTTCAAGAAATTATTTCATGTTTTGAGTTGCAATGTTGAGTGCAGTATACAGTTTCTGACACTTGATTTACTTGGTCAATGTTCTTGGTGGATATAGCTATGGCACTTAAATTTGAGCTAGGATTTCGGTCAATGTTCTTGGTGGATATAGTTACTGCACTTGAATTTGAGCTAGGATTTCGACTGCATTTTTTACCTGTGAAATTTACTTGCTAAGGTTCTGTATTGATTGTTAGTAAGAATGATGGCGTTTTGTTTCCTTCTTGTTTTGGTTATAGGTTCTCAAAGATTTTCATTATCCGTTTAGTGTCATTCTTGGTCAAGTTGCTGCCGGGACAGCATTGATTACTCTAATGTGGATGTTGAATCTCCACAAAAGGCCCAAAATCAGTGGTTCTCAGGTACTTCATGTTGCGTGCACATCATTATTATTATTATTTATTTATTCTTTTCTAGTTAATTGTGTGATCTCCTAAAGAAACAATGTTGCACCCTACATACTCAGCTTGTTGCAATTCTCCCACTGGCGGTAGTGCATATCTTAAGCAGCCTCTTTACCAATATGAGCCTCGGAAAAGTTGCCGTATCATTCACTCACACGATCAAAGCTATGGAACCTTTCTTCTCTGTAATCCTCTCGGCTATGTTTCTAGGGGAGGTGAACCGATTTTGTTCTTTGAATAATTTTAATTTTGTTCGTCTAGCATTAAGATTTTTGCATGCAAAATAGTTTGTCTGAGTTACCAACATGACATTCTATAGTATAGTCTCCTACAATATGGCTGGTGCTCTCTCTTCTACTTGTCCTTGGTGGAGTTGGTTTGGCATCCATGACCGAGACCCTTTTTAATTGGTAAAAAAAGATAGGCACGATTTTGCCAATTTATTGTTGCAGTTGCTCTTGTCCTTCAAGTTCTATGACTGTGCTTGTTCGTTTCAACATTTCTGATTTGGATTTATAATATGTGTAATTTTCTAAGGTCTGGTTTTTGGACGATGAAGCTTTCTATGGGTGGACTCGAGAGTTACAGCACTCTACCTGCCATTGGCCATTTACTCGGCAGTTCTCTTTCCATGGCGAATAGAGGGCGCAAAGCCGGAAGCAATTACCGTGTTGTTCCGCCATGCCACATTCTACGGGCCGGATGGCACGACAAGGGAGATTTACCCGGCGGTTGTCTTTCCATGGCGAATAGAGGGAGCAAAGCCGTAAGCAATTACCATGTTGTTCCGCCATGCCACATTCTACGGGCCGGATGGAACGACAAGGGAGATTTCCTTGGTAGCAGCTCCCATTTGCACGTTGTGGGTAGAAATGGAGATACTTCGGAAGATGAAGTCATTCCTAAAGTCACTCCTACTCGAGTTGAACAGCTGCAGGTAAATTGGCTGAACCATCTGTTTAGTAGTGATAGCCCCTTGCCGGGGGATAGTTGAATTTTTAGGAGCTTTTTGATTTTTGTGATGATTTATGTGATTTGATTTTAGGATTTGAATGATTTATATATACAGCGTACTGATAAAATCTGTTGGGATCATATCACCTTGATCTTTGGGGAGATTTACAGTAACAGAGAGTCCTCACAAATAAATATGTTCATTGATCTCATAGCATTTGGATAATTCCATTGGCATGCTTATTTTATTATTGTTTTTTTAGTGATTCCATTGTGCTTATTGTTTAACTTGCCGTGTGGTACTCTGTGATTTGTACTTGTGTGATAAACTTGTGTGTTATTTAATAAACATAGATTTTTTATTTTTTATTTTATTTTGCAATTGCCTTTTTGTTAAAAATTTTAGTCAGCTATACAACATACTATTTTTTTTTCATTTTTTTCAGACATGTTTTATTCATGGTGAAACTGCTATTGAAAAGCTTAAACTTCGGCAGATGCACAAACAATCCCACAAAAACGAGAAGTTTGAATTCAATGTTGGCTATTTGCCAACAAAAAAATGATATTCCGTAAAATACTTTGTGGTTACCTCGTTTTGTGCCCCATTTTCTTGCCCAAAAAAAGACCGGATAAAAAAGACTGAAATTGAAGAGTTTGATATAGATGATTTATCACCCATTCGAGGAATTTTAAGCATTGTTGTACCTGATATTATGAAAGTAGGATCTGAAGAGGGTTTCATCACGCAATTTAATACCGACTGGGGCTCACATGGAAAATTCTTTAAACTCACTGGTCTTGAATATTACTCAGTATTGTCTTTGATTTCACATAAGCTTCCTCCCACCTTGGGTTTGCCCGTCAATCGCTTGATGACCGCAAAAACAGCATATAGCATAGTTTCCACATTCTTGAGTAAGCTACAAGTGGCAGAATTAATTTTTGGCTCTTCTGGTTGTCCGAGAATCGAAGTTGTTTCGCCCACGGGAATGCAGGCTGGAGTTGGCCATGTTGATCTCCATCCGGGGGACGGTCAAAACACATTCTCTCGCCTCCCGCTGGTCTCCACGGTGAGTTCCTTCTCTGTCCGAGGTCGGGAATTTGAGGGAGTAGTGGAAGATAGAGACGGCAACCCTCAATTTGTAGAGTGTCGTCCTGCCCAGGATGGCATTGTACTCACTCAGGCAGTCCACGATTTTAATAGTTTCCAAGATCGTCCTCGTGGGCTGTCCATCTCCTCCGAATTTAATGGGTAACACGATCTGACCGACGGGACGTGTAGTCTGCCCGTCGAAGCCCTGGATCCTTTCTCGACAGGGCTGCACCTCTTCATGTCGACACCCATCTTCTTGAAGGTGTCGTAGTAAAGGATGTTCGTATAGGCTCCAGTGTCGACCATAATGCGATGCACCTTTATCGCCATGATGGGTGTTGTGATCACCAAGGCATCGGAATGTGGATGATCGAACAAGAAAGCGTCCTCGTCGGTGAAGGAGATCTTGTTTGGGATAGCCGCCATCACCGGTATGCTACTGGTGTGCAGAGCTCTCTGTCCGACATAATAGGCCTGCCGGGTGTAAGATTTGATCTGCATCCTCGAGGGGTGGAAGTCACCTCGGCTCGTATTGATCCGCCGAGGTGGATTGGCCTGCTTGTCACACTCCTAATTGGAAGGTCGACTTCTCTTTCCACCCCTTGAAGTGTTGGCCTCATCCTGATGAGTCGGGTGGAAGGTCATGATCTCATTGTTGCCGCCCTGCTGCGGCCTCTTCCTCCGATGGTGTACGTCGGAGTCATCTTCGCTGTCAAGGCCGTCATAAAACCGGTCTCCCCTCTTCTTGTTGGAGTGGGTGAATTTCTTCAGTTGGGGGTCGTCAATTAGTTTCAACAGTGCCGTGATTAGGTACCGACACTGGTCGGTGTTGTGCCCATGTCCCTTGTGGTAGGCACAATATCGGAACTTGTCAACGTGACTCCGGTCGGCCTACACTGGCTTCGGGTCCGGAAGCAGCACCTTGCCCTTGATCTTCTCATATACCGCGACTGCCCCCACTGAGAAGACGCCTTGATAGTTCTCCTTCAGCTCCTCGGTTCTATGCTTCCTCAGAGCCTGGACTTCTGCCATCGACTTGCTCGATTTCCCCGACTTCTCTTCTTTGGTCTTGCTCGGCGTTGAGTCGAAAGTCGGGATGGAAATATATTCCTCCCCGATGATATAGTCCTGTGACTCTTGATATGTAGTCGGCTTATTCTGATACAATGACCATTTGAATAGGGTTTTTGGCTTCAATCCGGCCAGGACGGACACGAGCAGGATCTCTAGATAGCATTGTTCCATGTTTTGAACTCGGTCGCTGAACCGAGAGATATAGTCCTTCAGGCTCTCCTTCTCCCCTTAAACAATGTTCATGATCGACTCCTTTGGGGCGAGGTTAATTTGTGAGCCAATGAAGTGGGAGCAGAACGCCGACCTAAGCTGCCCCCACGAGGAGATGGAGCGGGGGTATATGGAGTGGTACCACCTTTGCGCCTTCGGTCTCAACGTCAGCGAGGACATTCTGCAATGGAGGGCATCTGTAGCGCTGTGCAGATTCATCCACGAAGTGTAGATGCCGATGTGGGAGTCGGGGTCCGAGCTCCCGCCGTAAAGTCCGAGCTGCGGGACTTTAATCTTTGCAGGCACGGCCTCCTGCAGGATGTCCAAGGAAAGGGGAGAAGCGTGGTCTACGACCTGGGCACTTGATCATAGGGGTAAAGGGTGACGGTCCCCCCTGCGACGTGGGCTGATCCTCTGCCGATGACCACCCTCAGGTCGCGGTTTTCCCGACTTTGTTCGTCTAGGCAGTGATAAACTGAATGTCGGACGATTTGTAGGCTCGGTTCTGAGCGGCTTTCGTCCGTCTGTCCTGCCGGGTTGATGGTTTTTTCCCGACGGTTTTGAGTTTCCTTGGACCAAACGGGGACCTTTCTCTTCCTCCCAGTCTCTTTTTCAGGAGTTTAGAGTAGGGTGTTGCCGGGGTTTTCTGCCCCAGCTATGGTGTTTGCGGTGGCCGTGTGGCCCACCAATGCCTCGGCGAAGGCGCCCTCGAGGACCTTGAGGACGTCGAGGTGTTGCATCGCCGCGGCAAATGTTGGGATTGGTGGGACCGGTGGCTGAGGCCCCTATTGTTGTCGACGTGATGTTCCCTCGTCGTTGCGGCGATTGGACTGAGCTCCGGATTGCTGCGTTGACTCGTCATGTCTGGAATAAGTCATTTTTTAGAGAGTTTTTCAGAAAAAACGAGAAGAAAAAAGAAGAAATTGTGAGAGGTGTTCCACAAGATCGAAATGTTGACACCAAATAACTTATGGTACCCTTCTTCTAGTGCAAAACTATTGATGGACGAAACCGATCAACGGTTAAAATAAGAAATATTGAGGGCAAATAGATGAAGTAAAGGAGAAATGCTGCGAAAAGGGAAATTTATTACGTAATTGCGAGGTCGGCCTCTGTGAACGAGGTCGGCACTTTTGTTACAGTTAGGATTCTTACGAGAATTTACTACAAGTTCTAGAGAGAGAACGTAGAGAGAAGACAAAGTTAATTGAGCTTCAGCAACCCCAAAATAAATGAGATGGTCTTCTATTTATAGTGGCATTGAATGTGGCACTGTTCTTGCACTGCTCATGTTGTCTTGTCGTAAAGTGCATCTGAGAGACAGGCCGACTTCTGTTTGACTGATTGGGTGTAATTTATGGATTTTCCAATCATTACCTACTGAGCATTTAATGCTGGTATGGGTTGCATTAAATGCAGACAGGCCTTCAGGCCGGTCTAGACGTCAAAGGTCTGCAGGCTAGCCTGGGACATCTCATCGGCAATCATTGGTTGACAAGTGGCATTATTTTATTATTTTTTGGATTCTCAGTTCGTATATAGGCCGACTTGGAGGAAACGTCAGGTCGGACTTCTCTTGTAAGTTGATCCTCTAACTTTCGGAGTTCAATTTTTCTGCTCGGCACCTAACCAGGTCGGCTTCGTAGCGAAGAGATCAAGGTGCCAACCTCAAGAATGACACAGCTCGTCGCCCTTGTTGACTTTGGTCTTTGGTCAGATCGACGTTTCCGAAATAAATTGATGACCGGTCTCTGCGACCGGGTCGACCCCCTCCGGCTCCTCACCTTTGAACCGGAATTTTAATGTGTGTTCAACTCAGATGTCAACAATTTTTCTAATTAATATTAGAAAATAATTTTATTATTGTTATAAAGATTAATATAATTTACTTTTTTTATACATACAATATGGATATTAATGTTGTAGCAAAATATATTTTTACGAGTACCGAATCAAATGATTCGTTCCCCGAGTCGATCTCTCGAGGAAGGCACTTCGGAATCTAGTAATGGTGTTGATAACACATACAAGAAAAATAAATCCTAAACACTCTAATCAAGATAGTGGTTTTTAATTATCAACTACGAAAGAGAATTCAAACAATGGAAAATCGAACTTAAAAGTAAAGATGAAGATCAAAGGATAAGAAGCTAAGGAGTCAGGGATGATGAATTTCTAACCAATGCAAATATCAAGCTAAGATCATTCGGTTAAGTGAATTGAACAACCTAACGTCTAGAAATTAGTCCTCAATAACTCTTCGTAACAAGAGGGTAACATAGACGGTAAATCAAACAAATCACGCAACACATAGACAATACGTTTCTGAACAAGTCTATTTCATACGAGTCTAGATCAATCAACTCCCCCCTTTCGGTTCTAAGAGTTGATTAATTATCCTAGACGATTATTAATCTACTAGTTCGTTGGATTTAAACACATCACACAAGAACGAATCATATTCAATTGGAAATCAATTGCAAATCGAAGTGTCACTCTTCGGCAATATTCAACATTCAATGCACGAGAATTATAAACCCTAGTTAAGCACAACTCGCATAAATTGAACGATCAACAAGTATGAAAATCACAATTAAATTCTAAACATCGTCATCATCCCCTATCCCTAGCGAAACAAATTAGCTACTCATATGGAATTC